ATGATGTTTTGTGTTGGTCAGACGGAGAAAATCACAATTATGTCTACGCCATAGGCATATTACTATATATTTGCTAATGTCTATTGCTGTTTTATTGCGCAATTGATGTAAGCTGCTAAAAAGGGTTACTTTACCAGGTTAAATAAAAAAATTAACTTTATTGCATTTAAATGTCCAGACTACACAAGTTAAACTAATGAAATTGTGAGAAAATTATAATGGATAACACTTCACGATAAGGATTCATTGTTATAGTCAAGTTAAACTAATGAAATTGTGAGAAGATTATAATAGATAACACTTCACGATAAGGATTCATTGTTATAGTCAGGGCTCGACAATCACACCCACCTAGATTTCAGCAGTGGCCCCACTAGCCACTTTGGCTGGTTGAAAATCATTTTTAAGTTGCCAAAGCTGCCTCATCCCTGAAGACTACAGTCTTAGTTTAAGACCGTTTGTTAATATGCGTGCAAATGTGCTCTTAGAACCGAGAAGCAGCACGATTGATAACTTCGCACAAGCAAAAGAAAGCAAGTGGATACTGAATGAGAGGATGATCAGGCTCACGTTGATGTTGTGAGAAAGGCACAGCTGATGTGATGCGCACAAGTGCTTAAAATCTCTCATTTCCTTGTGCAAAACTGTGCCTGGAAACGCAATTGGTCTGATCGTTTATCTTTGAAATAGATGGGAAAAAAGCGGTGCTCAGCAGCAGTTGCCACTTTCGCTTTTATCACTCTTTGAACAGATTATTATTGGGCCTAATGTTAACTGTGTGCACGTGATTATCCTTTTAATATCGCACACAGAATGTTTTCCACCTGCTTTCTTTTGCTTAGCTATTTTTGTTATTATGGTTTAATTATTATGCTTTACAATAACATTGCTTTAATGGGAGATCAACTCTCCATTTATTTAGTTACCGGATGGTCTGGGACCTGCTGTGTTTAGTTTTAGATAAATGAGAATTTTTTTTTATTAAATGTCAGTTGTTGTTTTTTAAGAACATCTTTGTTGAATAAAAAGTTCATGTACACAGCTATATTAAGCTTGTTTGACCCATTATTTATAGTTTGTGCCAAATAAATAATTAGTTTGGTTTGGCCAAATTATGAAATCAATTGGTCAATGAAATCCTTAGTGTTGAGCCCTAAAAAGTCATGTGAAATAAAAAAAAAGTTAGGAGGCATGTGGACATAACGCAAGTAATTTTACCATACCAACATCAAGATTATGCGAATATATTTTCCCGAAAACAAAACTGTGGCTAGCGAACAGAAGTGGCTAGTAACTAGCCACACTACTACTAGCCACAATGGCTGGTGATCAAAAATGTTACACTTAAGCCCTGGTTATATGTATAAGTAAATGCATTATTAACTAACATCATCAGTTAAAAATAGCTACACTCATTTATATTCCACCTTTGTGCTCATATTTAAAGGTTCAGGACACCCCGGAGAACTTTATTTTTTATATTAACAGATGTGTGTGTGTGTTGAGCTTCAGTTAAGACAATGTTAGCACCTGTCAGCTTTAATTGTGGGGAAAACTGGATAATTTTGAGCTTTTGTCAGCTAATTTCAGCTTCCGGGTTTAAAATGAGGGGCGGGATCAAAATCGGCGACGTAGCGCAGTACTGCAAGTGCAATGATGACGCGTCGGTTTCTCATTATTATTCATGGCGGAGTTTTCTTATCCTATGAGAAGAGCCGGCTGCTTAATTATTCATGAGACCTGCCAGACCTGCCAGTGTAAAGCCCGAGCTGAGAGACACGGAAACCACGGCACAGTCATGAAGGCTCGTATGTGTTTGTTTCCATGATCCACGGGGTTTGTTGCATGTTTTCCCCCGCGATCTTGTCAGGGCCGATCATAAAGCAAAGCTGTGTGTGTGCTGCTAGCATTTTTGTCGGGAAAGCAGCACGAGAATTAGAGAATGGCGGACGCTGTGTTTTATCAGGAGTTCGTTCACATTCAGACACATTGCTGTGCTGCTGTGTTTGCCTAAATCCTCCAGATTACCAGCAGGGTTAATGGTTAAAATAGACAGGTCAGGAGACCTGCTGCACTGAGTCTGCTGGATACGAGGATTGAGGGAGAAGTCCTCATTTATAGTGTTCACATGAACACACATCTTTATAATGATATAAATTGTGGTTGTCTGTATATGAAATTACGAATAACACATGTAGCAGGGCATTAAATCACTGTTCATTTCTTTGCATTTTAACTTTGTAAACTATAAACTCATGCGTCTCCTCTTTGTGTCTCATTTTGTGAGCTAACTGACAACAACAGTTATTCACTCCCCTTCTCCCCTGCTGGCCACGCCCACTCCTGCCCGATGCTCGCGGAGCTCCACGCCCATTAATCATGCATCTTTTGAAAAAATTCTGAAGTAGACTTTAACCGAAAGTGGGGGGGTGTCATGGCCCTTTAATTGAGATCATTTCTTTTATACTATAAAGAACAATAGCTAACGCTTGAAATGGATGAACTAACAATAACAGTGAAAAATGGCTGTTTGTTACATGTTTGTTAATGTTTGATCAGATTAATATACTAGTGAATTTTATTAGTTTATTGGCTAGTTCTTAAACATTAACTAAGTAATAAATCTTAGATAAATCTTAGATCTTAGGTAATTTTTCATTAACATTTTATATTTACAGAACTTCTCTTAACAAATAGATCATTATTGTAAAGTGTTAACAAACAACATAAATATTCATAAACGTTGAAATAAAAAGTAATTGTTCCGTTTTTTAAGTGCCCGCAATAACATCATCAGAAATACTGTAGAATGGACTTTTCTGTTCTGACAATGCAATGCCTTTTTTGTTGACAAGAGAAAGAAGAAGTGTGCTGTGCTTTTTGTGGTACTAGGCAACCACTAAATTAGCTGTATATTGTGCACCAGCGCTGCTGTTGATATTACCAATCATCTCTATGCTGGACTTGCTTCCTGGCCTTCTGCTATTTAATAGCATTGTGATGTTCACAATTTGTGAAGTCATACAGCTCCAGATAACTTGAAACAGCGACCACTGGTCTCTCCTCCATCTTTAAAAGTCTTTATAGTCATCTTGATAACAGAACTGCTGTCATCTCAATGGAAACCTTGCCTCTGCTTGCATTTGATTGGATAATGAAGAAGATTCGACTGATGTATCAGGATTTTTCAGCTCAGAATTTGCAAGTGCAGAGTGCATTGGCAATAATGCGAGGTACAGCAGGCAGTATAAACAGCAGGGGCACAGGGAGCATAAGCAGTGCTCAAATGCTTACGGACATAAGAAAACCAGTTAAAACGGCAACTCCAATCTCAAAAAGCAAGTGATCGGCCCAACACTGGTCCCAAAAAAAGTTTGTGTTATACTTCATCCATGTCCATAGGTGACAGTATAAAGTTTGAAAAAGCTGTCATTTCAATGAGCGAAACATATCTGCTTACTGCGCAAACAATAGCTAAATGCATAAAAGTCTTTCAATTCGAAGTATATCTAGGTATATCTGAATTCACACTTCTCATAAAATAGTAGACAAAAATGCTGGATGAACGACAAGTATGCATTCAATGGACACTCTACTATCTGTCAATGGTAGATTAATTTATGGTAGTGAAGTGATGCAACTGACACTGATAGGTGACGTGTAGTTTAAGGGCTGGGTTAGCCATGTGACGGTGGCTGATAAAGAGCCACCCTCTTGGTCTTGTGCGTTTAGTGTTAAGGCTGTATGTGGATTAGTAGGGAAATCAGCAGTAATCCGAGACTCACCCTTAAAGCCCCCGTTCTGGTATGCTAGATCTGTATGCCCTTGCAAATCCCTAAACCGTGCATTGAAACTAAATAGTACATATTTGAATAATTAAACATTATTTTTGCTGCTAGTTACGGATTGTATAGTATTTTATTTGTGAGACTGATGACACTGGGTTCTGATTGGTTGATTGTGTAAGCAAATATTTTTGCATGATGACTGCAATACAGTATAGTCTTGTGTTTTTGTTTATCTTTTAATTTACACATTTATTTATTAAATTATTTAAACATGGTCTCACAGTGGGTAGCACGATCGCCTCATAGCAAGAAGATCACTGGTTCAAGCCCCAGCTGGGTCAGTTGACATTTCTGTGTGGAGTTTGCGTGTTCTCCCTGTGTTCGCTTGGGTTTCCTCCGGGTGCTCCGGTTTCCCCCACAGTCCAAAGATGCGCTATAGGTGAATTGAATAAGCTAAATTGGATGTAGTGATGGCTTGTGGCTGGAAGGGCATCAGCTGCGTAAAACATTTGCTGGATAAGTTGGCGGTTCATTCCACTGTGGCAACCCCTGATTGATAAAGGGACTAAGACGAAAATAAATTGAATTAATTTATAATTAAAACATTAAACATGTACTTCACGGCTTAAAAATGTTCCATTGTTTACCTAGGTTGATTTTGTAGGCACATATCTTTACATACTGCAGAACTGTATATTCTTGCTTTCTAAAATTATTTTATTATATTTAGTTGATTTATTATGCTAATTTATTGAATATTTTGAAATATTAAACAGATATATCACCCAATTATGCCACTGTTTGCTTTAAATCTCCAAATCTATATGATTTTCTTTCTTCTGTTAGACACAAACTAAATTGATCTATTTTGGACAAAATATAGCTATTCGTTGACTTCCATCTTTTTCCAGTACTGGGTTGCAGCTTGAAAGGCATCCGCTGTGTAAAACATATGCTGGAATAGTTAGTGGCTCATTCCTCTGTGGTGACCCCTAATCAATAATGGACTAAGCGGACAGAATATAAATGAATGACTTCCATATGTTTTTTTCTAACATTTTTCACTACATTTTTCCAAATACCTTCTTTTGTGTTCATTTGTGTGAACTGTCCCTTTAATAAAAAAAATTACCAGGCCAAAACGTCTAATGTGTGTTTTTAAATAAGAATAAAGACCAGAATACTCAGTTCTTTCTCTTTTTATATCTGTAGAGCTCAGTTCAGGAGATTGGAGAGGAGGTGGAGGACGGTGCCATCTATACCATTACACTCCGAAAGGTGCAGCTCCACCAGACGGCCAGTAAGGGCCAGCGATGGCTGGGCGTGGAGACAGACTCTGCCCTCAGTCTGTACGAGACGTGCAAGGGTCGAACCATTAAGGCTGGCACACTGGAGAAACTAGTGGAGTACATGGTCTCCGCCTTCAAAGGGAAAGACTACACTTACGTCACTATTTTCCTCTGCACCTACAGAGCATTTGCCACCACCAAACAAGTGCTAGACCTGCTGCTTAACAGGTAAACAGCCGTCAAGCACGAGTACTTCTAGAGGTTTTATATCAAGCACTATGAATTCACTTAAAATGCACTCATTTATTTCTTAGATATGCCAAACTGCCAGCCTCAGGCAAGACTAAAGTCTCAGCAGAAGACCACACAGAGCTTAAAAAGTAAGTGCTCATGTTGTTTAAATGAACTCAATCTATTTTTCTGCAGTTGAAATTTGATTTGTGAAATGTGACCTTATCGGTTATCAGATCAGATGATATTTATTTGTATTATCAATATTGGATATACTATGTATCATACAAGATTGAAAGAACCCAATTTTTATTATAAATTTGGATTGCCAATGGCATCATCAAATGCTTGTGTAAAACAAATAATTTCATATAATCTTTAATGCAACAACACATTTTTAGTTTTGAAATTCGTTATTCATTATGATGATTTGATTAGTAAAGAAATATTTTCAAATGATCAAACTAAGATAAAAAAAAATATATAAATATTTAAATAAAATACACATTATTAAAACATTATTATATTATTCAAATATAAATAAAAAAAATTGATTTGTCAGCTTACTAAAATAGGTTTTAATATTAAGAACTAAAAGTATAAAAATAAATGATATGAAATGAAATATATATAATTTATTTTTATACTTTTAGTTCTTAATATTAAAACCTATTTTAGTAAGCTGACAAATCAACAAAATATTGATGTGTCATTTTGTTGATTTTGCATGTAACAAAATCTAAAAATGCTTCATTATTTAAAAGCAAATAGAAGTTTTAATATTTATATTGTCATTTTATAACTTATATGTCAAACATTAAAATATTGATATTAATTGGCTTATCAATATCTTCCAGAAATTAATAATATCAAAGCATCCTTATTTTTGTGTGATTGGCAGCACTGTGTCATCTATCCTGGGTGCCTGGTTAGATCAATACTCGGAGGATTTCTGGAGTCCTCCAGATCACGAATGCCTGCAGAGTCTCATATCCTACTTACAACTCAACTTCTCTGGATCGGACCTGGAGAGACGAGCTTTAAACCTGCTGGAGCACTTCCAGCATCGCCAACAGTGCGAGGTGGAGATTGAAGGTATGATCTTCACCAATAATGATGCATTTTTTAAACTTATATTAAATTTCCAAACTAACTTTATGAGGACTTGCGTATCATGTACAGGTGACCTGTGCTCCTGCCCCTTTGCCACACCAGAGGAGAGCAGTTTGGAGGATGAATTCTCCCCCTCACATTTCATGTCCTTCAGTCCTTCTATAGTTGCTGAGCAGTTAACAGTCATGGATGCGGTAAGACGTCAATTTAAAGCTGTCAACTTAAATTTAATGCCAATACTAATAGTATAAAAAGTTCAGTGAAGTGCTTTGAAATGTGCATTGTTGTATTCAGATTTTGACGTATTCTCAACTGAAACATGAAGACAGGGCGGGACATAGCGTAGCTCCTCCCTTTTTATAAAACAATAGCTAATAGCGTTTTGTTTTTTAACAGCTCTGCTCTCTGATTGGTTGAGCACTTAAGCGCATCAAATGAACATCAAATAATATTCATTTTGAAGAGGGCAGGACATGTGAGATACTAGAGAGCATTTGACTGGTCAGAAGATTTAATGAGAAACTGAAGTATGAGGTGATCCATTTATGTGGAAGTTTTGGGTGTTTATATCAGATTTATGTCTTCTAAATGATAATTTTGTCACTGTTTTAAAACACAATAGCTTATTAGATATTATTAAAACTAACATATAAATACTACCATCAAAAAAAACATCAACATTTCATGTGACCTTTAACATGTGTTTTTTGACTAAGTGGTCATCCAAGATGTAATTCACTTAAAAATGTGCCTAATGCTGAGTTCAGACTGCATGATTTTCAAAGTAGTCACGTCATAGATGTTTTCACACTGGATGACTATCTGGGGTAGCGTTCCATCGGTGCTGTTTACACACTGCACGACTTTGAAAATGGAAGAATCGCCGACAACTTTGTCCAACTTACGTTTCAATACCAAACAAACACGAGAAGTGGCTGTAGGTAATCTGCAATGTTATTTTCAAGCAGAACACATTTCACACGGCATAATTTGAATCACTGATAAATTGTTATAATATCTACTTATTTGCAGTTCTCTGATATAAATAACTTTGTATCACCTGTAACCCAATGTCACAGAGGAGCAGTCGGGTTTTCTCTTTGTTCACCTCATCAGCGAAAAATGTAACTCTTAACGAACATTTTGCTATTTTTATTTAAAAATGAACTACCAATATTAAACCCTTTACAGTTCATGTGGCGTTAAAGGATTAAAAACAGTGATGGAACAATTGAGACAGGATTTACACCTATGTTCAGTGTTCTCCACTTGTGATCAGATCAACAAAAGTGCATCTTACTACCAAATAGCCAAATAGGACCTCAGTAGTCTAGTGGCTGAGCTGTTAGTTAAAAGGTTAGAGGTAAAGTTGGTTGCAAAGGTTTACACAAAGACAGAATAAGGACAGTTCTGTACTGCAATCTTCATACAATGTTGCTTTATTGATCTGTTTATGCACCCAGTATGTGTCAGTCAGCAAGTTTTTGTTGACTTGAAGCAATGAAATATTTCTGTCAGCTGAGAGATCTAAACTTGAGAAAATGATTTACCTTTCTAGGTCATTGAATAGCATCAATGTAAATAAAGTCATCCTGCAAAACTGGGTGAATTTGACTGAATGCATTGTTTTTGTTCACAGGAGCTGTTTAAGAGGGTTGTTCCATATCATTGTTTAGGGGGCATATGGTCCCAGAGAGATAAAAAGGGCAAAGAGCACCTGGCACCAACCATCCGTGCTACTGTTTCTCAGTTCAACAGTGTGACCAACTGTGTGATCGCCACCTGCCTGGACAACAGGTCTCTCAGACCTTTCCAAAGAGCCAAGCGCATTGAACATTGGATAGAAGTTGCCAGGGTAAGACAACATTTGTTTTTTCAACATTGTTCACAGGATTAGTGTACTTCACTTCACCACCAGTTTTATTTTATTTTACAAGTGCACAAAGCTCATAATTTTTGGAGCACAAATGCAGAACATGCACATTTTTGCAGTCATACATACAAAAAAAGTATACACAGGAGGAAGGAACAGTTCAATCAAAAATGGAAATAAACCTGTAATTTACTCACACGTAACCCATCTTCTGTATATATGACTTTTTCTATCAGACAAACACAGTCAGGGTAATTTTAAATTATATATGGTTCTTCCATTCTGTATAATAATGTTGGGGGATAAATCTGTGTGAAACTAACCCACAGCCGATAAGGGGTTTATACATGTCTTGTGTAATGAATTGTTGTTTTTGTAACAAATGTTTTTCTAATTTTTAAATTATAAACTCAAATCCTGCATGTTTTCGATAAATTCTGGGCTGACCTCTGACTACAAATGACGCATAACATAAGAAGTATTCGTAGCGGAAGAGTAATATACTCTATAATACAGTAAAACCAAGCCAACTAGTTTTCTTATTTGTCGTTATCTTCCGAGTCGAATATTCGGCAACTGCCAAAAGTCAATGATTTGAGTTTATAATTGAAAATATTTTTAATGATTTTTTCACAAAACACTCTGATACACTTCAAAAGACATGCGTATAAGGGCTATGTGATTAATCAAATCGAATCGCAGTTGTAGTATATGTCTATTATTTCTCCAACCCAGAGCAAATGCGTAACTGTGTTTGACAGTCTTCCTAGCCAAATAAGTGAGCACATTTTCAATCTGCCCAATCAGAACTTTTCAATCTGCCTACTTTACAGAAAGCTAAGGTTATTTTATTTGAGCTTACTGTTTGCTCTAGAGAAAAAATTGTGTTTAATTTCTGAATATTTAAAAACAAATTTGAATAAATGTTAAAGTTAATATCTTTTACATTCTTTTTTTTTAAAGTAACACTCATTGCATTTTAGTAGTAAGAAGCTACAATACAGATTATTGAGCTGAAACTTGACTACAAAATTAAACCGCAAACCAAATCGAAATCGCAATATCTGTCAAAAAAATCACAATTAGATACTTTCCCCATATTGCACAGCCCTAATGTGTATGACTTATTACGAATTTATTCATTTTTGTAAGCTTTGAAAAAGGGCCACTGCTCAACAACATTATACAGCATCGAAGAGCCATAATAAAATTTAAAACTACTCCAATCATGTTTCATCTGAAAGAAGAAAGTCATATGCACCGACGAGGAGTAAATCATGGGGTAATTTTAATTTCTTGGGTGAACTAATACTTTCAGAATTAACTATAACACTATAGACCACATAAAGAACCCTAGCAACCAACCATATACAGTACCATCACCAAAAAAACATTTCAAAACACAATTACTGGAACAGTTAATATTATTATGGTGTATTTTTACACTTTTCAGGTTCTAATATTTAAACTTTTGGTGATGATATGCACCTTTAAAGCATTAATATGCCCCTTAAGGCACCTTAAAAACACACTGCCCCAATGACAGCTTTTGTACCTTTATTTCTGAGTGTAACCACCACATGTATATGCTCTAAAAACACTTAAAACCGCTAGCAATGCCTTGGCAAGCACCCATGACAATAGAGCACTGTTTTGACAAGTTTAGCATAGTTTTAGTTTTGATGCATTATAGTAGCACACGTCTTTCTTCTTAAGCAGTTCACAAGTGTTGCAGTTCATAAACATTCATTTGTTTGTCTTGACACCAGAAATGCCGTATCCTGAAGAGCTTCTCCTCTCTGAAAGCCATCCTGTCTGCCTTGCAGAGTAATGCCATCCACAGGCTGAGAAGGGCCTGGGATGATGTTTCACGGTAAGAGTCTGACTGGATTTCTGTCAGCAACAATTAGCCAGAGTTAAGGATAAGGGCTTTAGCATTAGCATTAGCCACTGATTAAAGGTAGCATTCTCTGTGCTAGCCTCTTATGTGCTCAGTCATACAGACTGCCAGCTAAAACAGCTTTTTATGAAAGACGTTCTGTTATAGTGATATTGGAGTGGAGAAGTGAATGCTAGTTAATCACAGTGTTTGGATTTCACGTGAGCAGATTATGACTCAAGCAATTTGGTTCTGCTTACAGGGAAAGCTATCGAACTTTCCAAGAGCTGTCTGAAATCTTCTCAGACGACAATAATTACTCACTCAGCAGAGAGCTTCTCATTAAGGTGAGGAAAACATTTGTGAACCTGTGTCCCCCCCAACACAAACCTTAAGCACACTAGTTGTGAATACTATGTTCTTAAAATGAGCCTAAAATGCAAAGTAATATGGGAGTAATATTGTATGGGTAATTTATTGGGATAATGGGATTAAAAGTGTAAAATATGTGATAATAAAAGGTTATTTATTTCCCTCTTTATTTGTTTTGTAAAATCTATTTTTTGCATAATACAAAGGAAAATATAATTAAATAACTTAACTATTATATTTACATATATTAATTACTTTAATTACATATCTTCATGGTACATTTGGAAGAAATGTCAGCAATAGTTGACATACTCTGACATACTCTGTGTGTGTGTGTGTGTGTGTGTGTGTGTGTGTGTGTGTGTGTGTGTGTGTGTGTGTATGCGTATGTGTGTAGGTGGGGTGGGGCAAAAAAGGTTAAATATTAATCACAGTTAAAGTTAAACCATTAATCACAATTGTTTGTTTGATAATTAATTGTCTGCTAAATATTCATGATTGTGATTAAACAAATTATAATAATATTAATAGAACTCACAATAATTAAATGTATTGTTCTAGTTTTCCATTTATAGATAATGCCGACTGAACTATGAAATCTCCCCGTTTCCTTTTCCAGTCTGATCACCTTTGGTCAGAAGTCACATGTTCAATCAAGCATTTTTCAAAATTTTAAAAGTGCACCACAAAACCAACAGCATTTGCTGTCGGTGCTGCTGGAGCAAGACGGGATGTGGTTATATCACACTGTCATTCACAGAAGCGCTTAGTGACTTACTAGTTCTTTCAGCATCTTTAAAGCCATGTTTCTATAGCAGCTGCAAGGTAAACAGAAAGCCATTTTCAATTGCACAATATCTGTGGCCTTCTGGCTCAACTATCTATGGCCTGCTGAGTTTTCTGGAGCACAGCGTCAAATGCTTTTGTTGCACTTTTCACTAGCTGGCAAGCTTCTACATTTGATAGAGATTTTGAAAAGAAGCTGTTCATGTTAAAAGCCTTATGCAACTTTTGTGAAAGTTTTTATAGTAATTTTGGTTTCAGGTATGAGATTTGGCACAAATTTCGTATATTATTCGTATATACATTTTTATTAGTTTTTTTTTGTTTCATTTGTTGTTGTTGTTTACATAACCCTCAGTAAATTCTATTTGATTTGTGCTTAAACCAATAAAAAGTGGCTTAAAATATAGAGCATGCTAACATTCTAACATTCAAAAGTCTTACAATTTTATTTGATATTCTTATGAAACAAGGATGCATCTAAGTGATAACAACTGACTGTAAAGAGGTTTATAATGTTAGAGATTTTAAATATATCCAGTATATTTGACCTTTCAGTTTAAGTGTTTCCTCAAAATTATTGAGGAGCACAACATTGACTGATGATAATAATACATGTTTATTGGGCAGGAAATTAAGCATATTGAAATTATTTTTTGAAGAATTGTGCGATACTAAAGTCTGGAATAATTATGCTGAAAATTGTAACAATATTATAAAATATATTTAAATTTTTACTTTATGTGACTTATGTTGCATGGGTATGTTTTGGCAATAGCTAAAATATATTGTAAGAGGCAATTTTCTTTTATGTCAAAAATCATTAGAATTATAAAGTAATAATTAAGTTCAATAAATATATTTAGTAAATAACCAGGACATAGACACATACACTACATAATATAGCTTATTCAATTCATCAATAGTCCATGTCTTCAGACTAGTGGGGGGAAACCGGAGCACCCGGAGGAAACCCACGCGATCACTGGGAGAACATGAAAACACCACACAGAAATTACAACTGACCCAGCTGGGGCTCGACCCTGCAAACTTTTTGCTGTACCGCCCAAGAAAATCTTTAGACTTTTAAAATTTTAGTGTTTCCTATATTTATGATTTTTTAAACATTTGTCCTCTGGAATTAATGAGTCTTTTGAACATTTAATTGCTGAACAACAAGAGAAAAATTATTTCTTGTTATGGCAACCTGATGCTCTATAACACACAAACAAGTGATTCAGGAAGTGAGAGGTTTAATAAAGGGTTAAGTTGTTTTGTTACGATCTTTATCTCCACCCCACAAGTATCTTTCGGAAGCTGTCATTTGCATAGAAAGAAGTAGCACATGACGAATATTTCCTTTACGTGCATTTAACGTTAGAAAGCAAACTAAAGCAGAACGTCGGAAAGCATTTCTGGTATGCGAGCTGAGGCTAAAAAACTTGCAGTTGCTGCCATAAGGGAATTCCTGGCATGAGGTCATAGTTGCTCTGTACCACTAGATAAACACTCCTGCTAAACACAGAAGGTCTTCCCCAGGGTGTTGGCCAACATATCTCATATGTACATGCAGTTAAACACCACGTCCATTCTGCGTCATGGCATATCATGATGGCGCAGACTAAAGTTTGCTAACAATCATACCTATGCTGCTAAGTTGTATTACCTTTATAAAAATTAACAATAAATAATAATAAACACAGTTTTGTAGTTAAACCATAATAGCCACAAATTCACAATGGATTTGCAATACCTTACTGAAAAAAACAGCTTAAACCAGCCTAAGCTGGTTGGCTCGTTTTAGCTGGTTTATCAGCACGGTTTTAGAGGGGTTTTGATCCACTTCCAGGCTGGTTTCCAGCAATTTCCAGCCTTGTCTTGGCTGGTCAGGCTGGAAAATGACCAGCTAAATCCAGCTTGACCAGACTAGTTTAAGCTGGCTGGGCTCTTCAAGCTGGTTTTAGCTGGTCATTTCCCAGCCTGATCAACCAAGACCAGGCTAGTAATGGCTGGAAACCAGCCTGAAAGTGGCCAAAACTCCTCTAAAACCAGCCTGGTCAACCAGCTAAAACCAGCCAACCAGCCTATGCTGTTAAAGCTGTTTTTTTGCCAAAAACATTGTCAAAATACATTTAACTCCAATAAAATAAATTTTTAGGGGTAATTAGTTTGGATGCTAATGTTAACATGTTTCTTGCATGTTTTGGCACATATTGGGCTACATGTTATGTTATCATCATGTTATTTCATGCTAGCAGAGTGCCAACAATGCTAGAATCATGCTAACAACATTCTAATATATGCTGCTTAGTGTTAAAACATCTTAGCCTTGTCATTGACGTGTTGGAGTAAAACATTTAAATATAAACCTTTTCAATGTAACTTTTTTAAACTCTGACCATAACAGTTAAACTCCATTCTGTGTCATGGTATATCATGATGGTGCAGTCTAAAGATTGATAAAAATGTTAAGTTTGGTGCTAATTTTTATTAACTTAACAAAAATGAGCTATAGGGGTTACTGTATATAACTAAAATAAAATTTAAAAACATTTGCAATTAAACTATAACTATAAATTCAGGATGGCTTTGCTATACTGACACCAATGTGTTTGTGGTTATACAAATGGTAGTCTGTTCACCAAAAAGCATGTTAATTTTTTTTTCTTTAGCACTCATTTAACTAAAGCTAGCAGAATGCCAACAATGCTTGAAACATGCTAGCAATAGCTTTACAAGTGTTAGCCTTGTCTTAGTAACATGAATAAATTAAAACCCTCAAAGTTAAACCTTTTTAAAGTTATTTAAATTCCCTGATCACACAGTTAAGTCCATGTCAATTCTACGTCAGGGTATTTTATGACAGTGCAGTCTTAAGATTCCACTTCGGTAGCCTTATCTGACTTGAGCTTATAGGGCTGTGAGTGTTACGTCAGTGAAATGCTGAAATGATGATTCAAACCTGATGTTTCCACAGGAGGGCACCTCTAAATCTGCCATAGTCGAGATAAACCACAAAGGAGCCCAGAGGAGACACCAGCAGCAAAGAGACATGGTGTGTACAGAAATAAATGTCAAATTATGTTACTCAAACTTGATATTTGTGAAGAAATAGCGCCCTCTAGTGGTCAAAGGGGTTCAGTTTCTACAGCTTACAGGAAACTGAATGGAAACATAAGCTTGCAAAATTGTAAATTGTTTGTTTAATTATTTAGTTTCTTTTTGTCTGTGTTGTTTAGGGTGTTGTGCAAGGAACGATTCCATACCTTGGCACTTTTCTGACTGACCTCGTCATGTTGGATACTGCTATGAAAGACCATCTGGAGGTGAGAGGGACAAAGTGGAGAAAATGCGTATTATCTGTAATAGTTTTGTTATAAAATAATATTCTAACTTATGTGATTTTCTTTTTAATTTCTTTAGGTCGGACTGATTAACTTTGAGAAGAGAAGAAAGGTCAGTCTTTGTTCATGAAAAACTATATTTTCTAAAATAAATAGTTTCATTCCTGGATGCTGATTGGTTTAGACAAGCTAATGTTAGCTAAGCTGTTGAAACAGGTTGTTATAGTTGCCTAAAACTAAAATTATGTGATACTTGAGTTAATTTAAAAAATTAGAAAAATACTTGACAAACATTGGTTTAACTAAGCCAGATTTACAAAAAAAAAAAAATTTAAATAAGAAAAGCTCGAAGTTTGAAGGTCTTACTTATACAAATATCAAAGAAATGTTTCTAGCTTATTTCAGAAAACCGCTAATATGTTAAAGCTATTTGCTAAGATGTATTAGCATGGTGTTTGAACAATTTCCTAACATGATTCTAGCATGTTTTAGCACATGGTACATGCTAATTTATTTAGTGAACTATGCTAAAAAATCTTAGCCTTGTGCTAATACCTCTTAGTGCTATTTTATTGACTTATTTGAGTAAAATTTCCACGTTTTACAAAGTTGTTTGTCCTTTGGACCATTTAAATATTAAAAAACGTACATATTTCAATAAAAGCAATACAAATGAAGTGCTTTGTTTTTGTTGATCTGTTTAGGAATTTGAAGTGATCGCTCAGATCAAGTTGCTGCAGCTGACCTGCAATTATTACAACTTCAGCAGAAACCAGCGCTTTATTGACTGGTTTAAGAGAGTGGAGAAACTCACAGAGACCGAGAGGTGAGACAGACCACAAATTAAAATAGGAATGATTTGAAAACTAGATTTTAAAGAGACAGGTTTATTTTTATACATTTTCACAAGTAATATTTTATTCTGTGTTTAGCTACTCTATGTCGTGTGATATCGAGCCGCCGTCTGAGTCGTTGTGCAAAAAGAATGGAGGCATCATGAAGCGCATGAGCGAGGAGTCGGGCTACAGCAGCGCTGCGTCACACTCCAAGTCCTTTGAGCAGCCGCGATTAAGCCAGTTCAAAGACTGCTTTAAAGATGGAGCTGATTCCCTCAGCCTCACCTCTGCAGGATCCAGTGGCTCAGATGCAGACGAGAGTCTCAGCCTGCTCAACTCTCCTGAATCAGGCAGTCAGAGAGTAAGGCCTTGTGCTTAATTTACAGTTCCAGTATTTATATTTAGATCAGTGTTATTTTAGTGTCACTGGTTTACTATTATAGTATTTTGATTTTCTTTTTCAGTAAAATGTTTTAAAATTTATGTATTTTATGTCATTTTTATTAGGTTTTGAAGATTTCTATTCAGTTTTATAATTGTTTTAGTCATGTTAATTAATCAAGTTCAACTGAAATTTAGAGATGTTGCTTTACCAGCTGAAATAAAAAAAATTTGTACATTTGTTTAGATTTAAGTTGCAGAAATTATGTTCATGGATTGAAATACACTGAAATAAAAATTCAGATGATGCACCTAACACATAATCTTATCACTTTTGCTATGTAGAATTTATAGTTTGTTTTAATTATCGGTATTGCCTAAGGCTGCACAAATAATAATTTTTCAGCACTTTTGTCTGTTATTTTCATTGCATTTTTATATTTTTAAGTTTTAGAATTTAAAAGCTAAACTTGTTTTTTTATTTTTTGGTTATTTTGATGCATTTTTTTTTTCAAATTAAAAAAAATGATATATGTGTGAAAAAGTGATTTTATATAAATAGAAAGCATATTAGTTGCAGTAAAAATTTCTGCTTTAATAGACCCTTTTCACATTTTCGGGTTTCTCAGTAGCGGAAGGCATCATAGCTGGATAAACTTAGAGCGCAGTGAATAGGAGAGTACAACAAATATTTGTTTACAACCTTATTTGCTGAAATAATACAAGAAAAACTCCATGATGATGTTTTTAAGGCTTTCAGAAAAAGGAAAAAAATAGCTTGGGACTGATAATCACAGTCAGAGATGAGAATAAAATCAAATTTACTCTCAGCCCCATAGAAGCTGCATTAGAAACACCTCGCATAAGCAGTAATTCGTTTTTTGTAATTTGATATAAAGTTGATGTAATACATTCATAAATGCATATAAATGTTGATACATTTATTTTTTTAATCAAAATATGAAAAACTTTCAAGGATTTAATGATGACCGTTAAACATGACCCTGTTTGATCATAACAGTCTTGTGAAAAGGGTCCATGTTTCAAAATAACTTATAAAAGTTCAAAATATGGGTCGAATAATTTGTAAATTATCATTTGGTGTCATTTAAATTTATAACATCTGACCAGTATGTATTAAAATATATACATTTTTAAAGTTAAAAAAGCACCAATTCAATAAATCCCATTATAATGGACTGAAAGGTGCTTTTTTTTAGCATTTGAACATATTCAAAATGCATTAACCTGACTTTCTGTTTTTCTCCAGACATCCACACCAACTGTGAAACACTCATCAACCTCAGAAACAGGAGAGCTCCCGTCTGATTCCTCAACCAAGGTATTTGAACTTTCATAACCGTAATCTGCAATTGAAACTGAGTTATTTTTGAACATGTATACATCAAATCTATCTTCTCCAGCTCTGGGAATCACCCACCCCATCATCTCTGGAGGCGTCTGGATCAGGCTTGTGTTTAGAGTCAGGCTGCAGCAGCTCCACATCTTCCTCCTCTTCCTCCTCGTCCTCAGTCTCAGCCTTCACAGGACGGACCTTCAACTTTCACAAGCGCTCAGTCTCTGGCATCTCAGACTACTCGTCTCTCAGTCTGCCGCTCTACAACCAGCAGGCAAACGACTGCTGCATCATCAGAGTCAGCCTGGACTCAGAAAACGGCAACATGTACAAAAGTATCCTGGTGAGTGGGAGATATTATAGAACATGTGATGTTATTGGAGCGTTCCTTAACCCTTTATCAGGCAAAGAACCATATGTTATGTTAAATGTCAGATTAATCTTAATGATCATGGTTTTCAGGTCACTAGTCAGGACAAAACCCCTGGGGTCATTAGGAAAGCCATGGCCAAACACAACCTGGACAATGACAAATCTGAAGACTATGAATTGTTACAGAGGGTCTCAAAGCATAAAGGTAAGGAACTGAAACAGGAAATATTGAAGGGCTTGGTTTTTTATTAGTTATTGGTGGATGTTAGCTTGTGTGTCCACCAAAAGTGCTTCTCAAGAGGTGAGAAAGTGAGAAAATGTCTTTTTTTTATGTCTAGGTTTTTACGACTAGTTATACAATTTACATCGGTTCTCATGTTGTGAGAAAGTCAGATTTTTTTACATTAAAGAAAAGAGTAAAAGGGTTTTATGACTAATTTTACAATTCTGATATAAATTATAAATTATAAAACTAATTGTATAATTTTGATATTTTGTAATATTTTGTATTATCTCTCAGTTCAAAGAAAAAAAAATAATTGTGAGTTATACATTTAGAATTGCAAGAATGAAAAAAGTCAAAAGTACAAACTCTGATAATTTTTCTTTCAGTTAACATGTCACAATCTATCTATTTTCTTTATATCATGCAATTCTGAGTTGATTTTTTTCTGTGATTTATGGGGGAAGAACAAAAACTTTGAGAAATTAGTAATTATGAGATAAAAATGTCAAAAATTGTTAAAGAAATTATGTTTATTTATTTAAAAAAAAAATATATATATATATATATATATACTATGTTTTGATTTTTCTAAATTGAATTACACATTCTCACAAATGAAGCCAATGTTTTAAAACAGCTAACTTAATAACACTTTAAAACTAAGTTTTCTAGATTAAGTAGATTTTAAAATTAATTCCATTTGAATTTACTTCAAACCATTTTTTATAACTTTTTTCTTTGTAAAATGGCATGAATTTAATGAATTTATTAGTCATATAATAATTCATTTCAATCAAATATTACATTTTATCAGCTGTAAAATACAAACAATAGTTGGCCATTGGTATCAGCCAGAATTGTTTATTGTATTGCATCCCTGGTGCATTTTTAAACGAATCTTATTTTTTTAGTCTGCTAGAATCTTTATTTTGAATGCTTGCTTCCATTCCAAAGAGCACATTATTGGACAAATAAATCCAAAACATTACAATCGTTTGTTCAATTTTTTTTTTTAAATGGCTTTTTTTTGCTAAAGTTTAGCCACCTTTTAGGGAGCCACTAATTATTTAAAATTTATTTAGTCTTAAATATAACCCAATTTCGTTTTCTAAATTAAGCTTTGTTACCATATTTTACCTTGATTTTCTTTTCCCCCAACAGAACTCAGAATCCCAGATAATGGAAACGTTTTCTACGCCATGAACTCAACTGCCAACTACGACTTCTTGTTGAGAAAGCGTGGCGTCCCAAAAACCTGCCGCTCGAAAAGCTCCCCGAGCCTGACTCTACCACGCATGAAGCAGAAAGGCTTCAAAATCCCCAAGAGCTTCTTCTGAAAAGACTCTGAAGCTGTTGGAGATCATCCAGAGTCACTTTATTAACCCCAACAGTATTATCTGGATCTTTTATCCAATGGATTTTTTGCGTTACCGAGCTTCTGTTTTCTGAAAGGAAGCGACCCCTGCGTTTCCTGTCCTTTGGAGCTTCTACAACCGCCAACTGTGGTTCTTACAAGGTTTACCTTAAGACTGCACTTAAGAGCCACATTCATGCATGAGCACACTAAACAAAAACATTTCAAGCACTTTAGAACGGTCCTTAAAGCAAGAGATTTGTGGTCCTCTGTCCTTTTCAAATTCAAAATGAATTGACGTTTTTGCTTCATCTCTGCCACTGGACTCAGTAGCAAAATCTCTCAAACATTAGGACTGCTCATGGAATAGTGACAGTATTACATGTACAGTACAAAATGTGTAAAGTGTACAGCCGTTTGTTTGTTTGTTTGTTCTTTAACATGGCCCTTTTGACTGTTGCTGCTGCCAGTTTAGCTTGCCTGTTTTCCTCTAACTGATTACAGTCTGAAGGGGTGTGCAATATTTATCATCTGCGATAATATTATAATTGTCATGTGAGCTCACATTATGCGGTATGTCAACTTATTAGGAAAATATTAAACAGAAACACATCCATATACCATTAAAATGACCTTATTATCCAAGTATTGAAAGCAATATCCCTTCATGGGTTTTGCTTGAATTTTTTTTCTTTTTTGTTAATTAATATCACACAAGTCAACTAAATTTGCGGCTAATGTTAGTTCATCTCTACACTAGAGTCTTTAGTTTCTGAATGAATTGAATGAATCATTTGAGTTAATGTTTCACTGATTCATTAATGCTTCATTTTTTGTTTCATGAAGTAACCACTTTCAACAAATCATTCAAATGATTCGAAAGTCTAATATAATGCAGTTAGAACTACAATTTGTCAAAAAAGCTAAATATTTAACAATATATATATGTTAAATATGTTGTAAGTAACAAAACATGGTTTGTGTCTCAACACTACAGTGTTTTGCCTCTGAATGAGTCTCTTTCTGAACAAATCATTTGAGCTAATGGTTTAATTTGAGTCAATGCTTCAGGGATTCATTAATGCTTGCTTCATGTATTAGCCGTTATGAACAAATCATTCAAATGACTCATGAGTCTATTAGAACGCATTTAGAATGACCCTGTATGTTATCAGGAAAGCAAAATGTTTAACAATATATATGTTTTAGCTGTCAAAAGCAAAGGCAAAAATATTGTGGGCCAATCATTTGAGCCAAAGATTCAATTTGAGTCAATGTTTCAATGATTCGATAACACTTACTTAATTTCTTGCGTCATGAATTAGCCATTTTTGACAAATCGTTCAAATGATTCAAAGGTCTAATAGAACGCAATTAAAACAAAGCAATAATTTGTCAGGAAAGTTAAATATATAACAATATATATGGTAAATATGTTTTAAGTAACAAAACCCAAGGCCAATGTTTGTGTCTCAACACTACAGTGTTTTGCCTCTGAATGAGTCTCTTTCTAAACGAATCATTTGAGCTAATGATTCAATCTGAGTCAATGTTTCAGTCATTCATTAACTTTTACTTCATGTATTAACCATTTTGAACAAATCATTCAAATGACTCAAAAGTCTACTCTAAGGCGTTTAGAACGACCCTTTATATTGTCAGTAGATGCATCCCAATTCGCATACTTATGCACCATTCGACACCATTTTGTAGTATAAATAGTCCAAGTAGTGCATTCACAATGAAAAAAATTTAGTAAAACCGAAGGTCAATGTTTGTTTCTCAACACTACAAAGTTTTATCAGTGAATGAGTCTGCTTCTGAATGAATCATGTGAGCCAATGCTTTAAATATCCATTAGTATGTGCTTTATTTCTACATTAATGACTCATTTTAAATGAATCATACTTTCTCAGTGGGCATGACATTTCAATTTACTTTTTGACCACTTTCTATACAGTAGTATGACTATATATATAGGAGGCCATTTTGCATAACTCATGACCTACAAGCTACAGTTTTCGTGGCTTCACTTCTACTCACAAATCCTTTTCCTTGGCCTTACGGGATAGTAAATAGTTCTCTGCTCATATAGTGTTTGTTTTTAACACACTATACAGTAAGAAAGATGTAATGAAGTACTTGCTGCCACCTGCTGGCAGTTTTGTTGTCCGTTTATTAATCCATGACAGATCTAAACAAGTCAACGTAACAACACACTCAGCAAAATATTGTTTAATTATCATTCATTCATTATTTTTTTCAGCTTAGTCCCTTTATTAATCAGGGGACGCCACAGCCGAATGAGCCGCCTAATAATTATCGTATATATTGCACACCCTTATTTCAGGCATCAATTGGTTCACTCGAGACTGAATGATTCTTTTATGACTGCTATAGAAGTGACTTAGTTTCCTTTATGACGAAAGGTTTTACAGAGTCGTGTTTGAGCAGGAGGAGATGACAGGTCTGAGATGCAGGAATCACGCTGTTATTTATGGCTATTAAATAACCATAAGTAATATTACTAATGCTTTTTAATGCATACAAAATATATCGATGCCAAAGCCGTTCTCTTTTATTTGCAGCCGTGTTTCATATTATAAAACGCTGTAAACTCAAAAGGCTTTTTGTACCAAACACTGTGAGTGGCTTCACCCTGCTACGCCTTTTTGCATTGTGAACTTAAAGGGATAATTTGCCCCAAAAATGAAAATTTACTCAGCTTTTACTGTTTTTTTTTTATCTTTTAAACACAAAAGCAGTTTTTTCAAAGAATTTTGGAACCCGATGACCATTGGCATTCATAGTTGGAGGTTTCCAACATTCTTCAAAGCATCTTCTTTTGTGTATAACAGAAAAAAGAAAAACAAATATTTGGAACAACTTCTTTTTTTTCATTTTTGATGGAATTTTCCCTTTAACTACATCCATGAGTGCTCTCTTAATATGTGTTTCAGCATGATGAGGGAATGTTGTTCCCTTCAGGAGAGATTTTCAGAATGTTGGTGTGTGTGTGTGTGGTAAAAAGGATTTATATTGTCATACGATGAGAGAAATACACCAAGAGTTTGGTGTATTCTTCTGCCATGTAACTGGAGCAAAATATAAATTGTGCTTTGCTTATAATTTCTGAAAGTGCACGGAGAACTGATATGCCAATAGTGATTCCACTCTTCAAATATCTCCTTGCTGTCAGGACGCTGCGAACATGATGTGAAATGTTTCTGCCTGCAGCTTGTCGCTCGACACACGTGCCATATCTATTCACACTGCATTTTCTATTTGTTTTGGTTCCCCTTTTTGTATCCTTTTGTATGTCTAAATCTAACTCCGAATGTTCTTGTCAAACTTTGAATGTTGCCCCGTTTTTATTTATTTATGTTTTTAATTGTTTTATTTATAATTTTATCGTTGCAAAGATAAATTAATAAATGCACCTTTGTATGTACAAACAAGCACTACATTTTTTAAAGAACTTACAAATAAATGTGGGGGGCGCTGAGACGCCGATACTTGATGTTAATGTGTTGTTGTTGTTCATTTTGATGTTCAATATGTGTTTCATAGATATACTTATTCAAATCAGTTGGATCCATAGTCTAAGACGAGTTGTAAATACAGTTTATTAATGCTATGTCATATTAGCAACTATTTAAATGAGCAGTTCAATTAAAACAAATAATGGGGTTTTGTGGCAAGTACATGGCAGAATTGTGTTATTGTCTTTCAGCATCAATGAAAGCAAAAGCCTGATTTTTATCAACTAATCAACATCACAAAATTTGCCTCTTTAATTGGTGTCATAATAGTAGAAAACAAGGTTTATGTAAAAGAAAATACATACTTTAAGCATATATTTCTAATTGATTAATCCAATATTTATTTAAGTTATTATTATTTAAGTTAATGTAATTTTTATTTGAATAAAAACCCTTTATTTAGATGTTATCATTTTTAGATGTTTTCACTTTATAAATTGTAGTTGCTTAAAATCTATAATGACACATACAGTTGAAGTCTGAATTATGAGCCCCCTGTTTATTTTTTTCCCAATTTCTCTTTATCAGAGAGATTTTTTCAACAAATTTCTAAACATGATAGTTTTAATAACTTATTTCTAATTACTGATTTATTTTATCTATTTTATCTTATAATAGTTACTAGATATTTTTCAAGACACTTCTATACAACTTAAAAAGACATTTAAAGGCTTAACTAGGTTAATTAGGTTAATAAGGCAGGAGAGGGTAATTAGGCAAATTATTGTATGATGGTGGTTTGTTCTGTAGACTGTCGAAAAAAATTGCTTAAAGAAGATAATAATTAATAAAAAAATGTAATTAAAAAACACTCTTTCTGAACGAATCATTTGAGCTAATGATTCAATCTGAGTCAATGTTTCAGTCATTCATTAACTTTTACTTCATGTATTAACCATTTTGAACAAATCATTCAAATGACAAATGTCGAAAAAAAATTGCTTAAAGAAGATAATAATTAATTAAAAAATGTAATTAAAAAACGCTTTTATTCTAGCCGAAATAAAACAAATAAGACTTTCTCCAGAGGAAAAAAATATTATCAGACATACTGTGAAAATTTCCTTGCTCTGTTAAACATCATTTAGGAAATATAAAAAAAAGAGAAGCTAATAATTCTGACTTCAACTGTATGTTAATAAAAAGTGCTAATTTTGTATGATGTACAACAGGTATTACAAATTTTTTTTTTATACCAAAAGTAAAAAACAAATCAATAGAACAGACTGAAAGGATTAATAATTGGAATAAATGCATTAAACTATTTTGCTTTCATTGAATTTGTCAAAAAAAAAAAGTTTATCTACACCTTTAAACTTTACTAAAGATATTTGACAAAGTTTGCTAATGTTCTAAAGAGATCACTAGTTAATGATTTTAGGTCATCTATAAACTCAGTTGTTTTCAAACTGGGCTCTGGGGACCCTTTTAGTGCTATGGGGGTCCGTGGAAAAGTCAGGAGAAAAAACATTTTAAAATAAAAAATAAATAAAACATAATGAATTAATGATTTTATTAAAAAAATAAACACTACATAAATAGTTTGATGAAAATAAGTATTTAATAAGTGTTTTTGCATGAATTAGCGGTTCATTCCGCTGTGGCAACCCCTGAAAAAGCAGGGAATAAACCAAAGAAATTTATGAAAGTCATAATAAGTAAATGCATGTATAAATACATTATTGAAAACATTACTGTAACAAGTTAAAAGGCAATAATCTTAGCATCTAATTATTTTGAAAAATAATATTTAAGGCATATTTCTCATTTATAGCTTACTGAAGATGTCTTTTAAATTTCAGGAGGACGGGGGCATCTATAAGACTGAAAACCCCAGCATTAACCTCAGCATTTATTAATAAATGCAAACCAATGGATGTAAAAAATACAAAACAAAAATGCAAACCAAAAACCTCTGTCGTCGGCATACGTCATTTCCCTGCGACACACAGGTCAGGTCGGCCGCTCGCTACTGCTCATGTTTAGCGGAACCAGTCGCGCTAACGTCAAACATGGCTTTAAGCAAGACATACGGACAGAAACCCATTAAGTTCCAACTGGAAGAAGATGGAGATTTTTACATGATTGGATCTGAGGTTTGTAATTCAACGAGACGATCATTTTCACGAAGATATATGTGTATAAACCGCATATGGCTTTGCTATGGATGCTAATACAGAAGCTAGCTCGCTAATGTTGTGTATATTTTGTTATGTGGTCGATAAGATGGGACTTAATTGATGTCTAAATGACTCCGGCATATTTTTTATCTCAAGTAGAGATGTAATTTTGGCGGTGTTGTTGTATTAAACACAACATTAGTTTACAATTGACAGTCACTGACAGAATTGACGACTGATATTTAGTCAAACCTTAAAGAACTGCAAGTAACGAACTTATTAACGTTAAGTTAGTAAATTACGCGGTAGTTAGTTTGATCATAAATATTAGAAAATGTAGTAAATTAACCCGATTTCAGCCTTTTGTAATATTAAATGAAGCAGAAATGCTCCACATAAACATGAGCACACTTGCTATTTATAACAACGAAATATTAATACAAAGTCAAATCAATAATAGATTTGTTTAGGTGTGTTTGTAGTAAATACAATGGTAATTTATCTGAAATAAACAGTCACTGAAAAAACTGATTATTTATATTATAGAGGTAAAGTTGTTTTTATATTTGCACATTCGTTCATTTAGAAGACTATATTGTTGATGTTAAGCATGTTACTTTGAATATTCGGTCTGAATTAGCATGCAAGTGTGACTTGAAAACAATATTAACACTGTTTTTTTTTCTGTGTGTGTACAATGTTGTACTTTAATAGTCATTTGCTGCTAATATGATTTCGCTATTTAGAGTTTGCAAATAATACTTTTATGAAATCATATTATTAAGGGGAAAGTCAGAATGTGCGAATATAAAACCAATTTTACCTCTATATTTATATCTACCCAAACCTTGATAAAATAAAATCGACAGTGTACTGGGTTTTAATGTAACTTAAACTAGCATTCCTTTATTAATTACTTTATTGACTACTTACACGAAAAAATTTATTTGAGTTTCTTTTCCAAAGAACATTTTTAATGCTCCCATTAATGTCCTTATAATGTCACTTCAGTGCTGCATGGAAAAATATTGAAATAATTAGCTTTCATACAACTAAAACGCATAACAGACTTGAATAAAAGGTCATTATAAATTCTAATGTAAGTGGTATCAGTAGCACAAAAAATGAAAAAATAAATTCTGAATAATATATTCAGAAGCAAAAAAGCAACAACTAAAGGTACTTAACCCTTAAACATGTTCCTTCACAGCCTGAGTATGAAAATAGCCACAGTATACAACAAACACAAAACCTTTATAAAATAAATAAATAAATGAAAGTAATCCGAATTATCATTCAGAAAAAATCTGTTGTTATAGACAACTATAAATTTTATGCATTCTAAACAAAACAAAAACATATCAGCTGCTTAGAAATGAAATCTATGAGCAATTTTCTAACTAACTACAAAATAAATGTGGTATGGCAGCAACTTGTGTAAAGTAAGCTGTGTATATTCAAGGTGCAAAATCTGCTGTTGTATAACAGCCATAAAAATATGTTTAACAATTAAAAAAATCAATCACAGCATTTTTCTGAGCAATGCAACACTGCCCCTTTTAAATAACAGGTTTTGAAATATAACAGAAATGTGTCACTGTGTCTGCTAAACTAATCAATTTTGTTATACAGATAACACGTGTGCTTATTTATTTGAAACAACAAACATAGTTGTAAGATTAGTAATAGTAATTAATAATAGTAACATTAATAGTCTCTCGTGCATACACACTCGGGTCTACCTTAAACGCATTCAGTCTCTCCTCACGTGCATACAGTCTCTCTGCTTTTGCTTTACTTTTGTCCAGTCTAGTGCCTCGTACACGACGCGTCTTCTTTACGGTGGTTGGTTGGAATTCACCAATCCCACAATGCTTCGCCTCCGTGAATAGGAAGATGTAGCCTAGACTGCAGACAAAATTAATTAAAGTACCAAGTAATCGGGTTGGGTATTGTTTGGGTTTTGTTTCGATACTGGTGCTAAATCGATACTTCTAAAATGATACCGGTGCCAAAATGGTGCCTGAACCGATACTTTTTAGCCACAAAATTATGGTGGAGGACTATATTTTATTTGTCAAAATCTTTTTTTTAAATAATTTTAATAGAACAATATAATTTAAGTTTAAAGTAAACATCAATTCATATTTTCTATATTTGAAATTAATGTATTTCCTTTGATCGTTTGTTGGTTAGCATGAATTTAAGATATGCATTATGAAGTTACATTAGCTTACTATTAACCTGTGTTGGGCGGGCAGGGGTCACATACTTTTGGGAGCTCATTTTAACATATCACTTATAATAATCTTTAATTAAAATAATCTTCCTTGTTAAATTATTTGACAAGTAACTTTGTACTGGTGTAGGAGAACACATTTCCAACATTCAAGTACATCAAGGCACATTGTTGCACCTGTAAACTTTAACAGGCCTACAGTTAAAGTCAATTTATTTTCCCCTCCTATTCATTTAAAATAATGTTTCTGAAATTGTTCACAGTGTTTCCTAAAAAAAACGGTTATTCTGGAGTCATAATAAGTCCTATTTCTTTTGTTTATTTTTTAAATAAAAGTAGTTTTTAATTTAAATAAAATAAGGTCAGTATTATTAGATTCCTTCAGAAATATTTACTGTATATTTTTGATATACGCAACAAATCAGTTACAAAATAATTTGACTAATTATTTCAACTTTCATAGTTAACTCATTAAGTGTTTAAATGACACTTTTTATTTTGACACTTTTTATTTTGACACTTTTATTTTGACATAAAAGACTATAAAATACTTAAAGGGACTTTGTCTGAATACAACTGTCTTGCAAAATAACTAGTAAAATGTTATGCACTGACTGTC